GAGTTAACTTCAATAATTACTTCCTCCAAACCATCAACGTGTCTTTTAGACCCCATTCCTACAAAACTGCTCAAAGAAGTCCTGCCATTAATTAATTCTTCGATCTTAAATATGATCAACCTATCTCTAATGATCGGCTATGTACCACAGGCCTTCAAGCTGGCTGTAGTTAAACCTTTACTCAAAAAGCCATCTCTAGACCCAGCAGTCTTAGCTAATTATAGGCCAATCTCCAACCTTCCTTTCATATCAAAAATCCTTGAAAGAGTAGTTGTCAAACAGCTAACAGACCATCTGCAGAGGAATGGTTTATTTGAAGAGTTTCAGTCAGGTTTCAGAGCTCATCACAGCACAGAAACAGCTTTAGTGAAGGTTACAAATGATCTTCTTATGGCCTCTGACAGTGGACTCCTCTCTGTGCTTGTCCTGCTAGACCTTAGTGCAGCATTCGATACTGTCGACCATAATATCCTATTAGAGCGATTAGAACATGCTGTAGGTGTTACAGGTACTGTGCTGCAGTGGTTTGTATCATATCTATCTAATAGACTCCAATTTGTGCATGTAAATGGAGAGTCCTCTTCACACACTGAGGTTAATTATGGAGTTCCACAGGGTTCAGTGCTAGGACCAATTCTGTTTACATTATACATGCTTCCCTTAGGCAGTATCATTAGAAGACATAGCATACATTTTCACTGCTATGCAGATGACACCCAGCTCTATCTGTCCATGAAGCCAGATAACACACACCAATTAGTTAAACTGCAGGAATGTCTTAAAGACATAAAGACCTGGATGGCCGCTAACTTTCTGCTTCTTAATTCAGATAAAACTGAGGTTATTGTACTTGGCCCTGAAAATCTTAGAAATATGGTATCTAACCAGATTCTTACTCTGGATGGCATTACCTTGGCCTCCAGTAACGCTCTGAGGAACCTTGGAGTCATTTTTGACCAGGACATGTCCTTCAACGCACATATTAAACAAATATGTAAGACTGCTTTCTTCCATTTGCGCAACATCTCTAAAATTAGAAATATCCTGTCTCTGAGTGACGCTGAAAAACTAGTTCATGCATTTATTACTTCCAGGCTGGACTACTGTAATTCATTATTATCAGGATGTCCAAAAAACTCACTGAAAAGCCTTCAGCTAATCCAAAATGCTGCAGCAAGAGTCCTGACAGGGACTAGAAAGAGAGAGCAGATTTCCCCTTCATTGGCTTCCTGTTTAATCTAGAATTGAATTCAAAATCCTGCTCCTCACATACAAGGTCTTAAATAATCAGACCCCATCTTATCTTAATGACCTTGTGGTACCATATCACCCTATTAGAGCACTTCGCTCTCGCTCTGCAGGCCTACTTGTTGTTCCTAGAGTATTTAAAAGTAGAATGGGAGGCAGAGCCTTCAGTTTTCAGGCCCCTCTTCTGTGGAACCAGCTTCCAGTTTGGATTCGGGAGACAGACACTATCTCTACTTTCAAGATTAGGCTTAAAACTTTCCTTTTTGCTAAGGCATATAGTTAGGGCTGGACCAGGTGACCCTGAATCCTCCCTTAGTTATGCTGCAATAGACGTAGGCTGCCGGGGGATTCCCATGATGCATTGAGTTTTTCCTTTCCAGTCACCTTTCTCACTCACTATGTATTAATAGACCTCTTTGCATTGAATCATATCTGTTATTAACCTCTGTCTCTCTTCCACAGCATGTCTTTATCCTGTCTTCCTTCTCTCACCCCAACCGGTCGCAGCAGATGGCCCCGCCCCTCCCTGAGCCTGGTTCTGCCGGAGGTTTCTTCCTGTTAAAAGGGAGTTTTTCCTTCCCACTGTCGCCAAAGTGCTTGCTCATAGGGGGTCATGTGATTGTTGGGTTTTTCTCTGTATCTATGAAGCACCTTGAGGCGACTTATGTTGTGATTTGGCGCTATATAAATAAAATTGAATTGAAATTGAATTGAATTGAATTTGAAGGTAAAGATCCGACAATAATACAGAGAAACAACAGGTAGAAGCAATGGAAGATTGAAAATAACGGTTGTCATTACTTTTCATTCAGTCATATATTAAGATACAGAAACACCATCTGTTGTGTGTAAAGATGAACAGTAGGGGTAGGGTGATTTTCACCAGATCAAAGCCATGGATTCACAATTATGGTTTGGTGCTGTTGAGTACCTGGATAGAAAATGCACATGTGGAATGGTAGAAAGTGTTCAGCATGCTTTGATGATCTGCTTCAACTATGCTGGGGTGAGCATTACAGACTGCTTCTTAAATTTAATAACCAAATTGCATCAATGGGGAACTATAAATTCTACATTTGGATTTCTGATTATTATTTCTGGCTGATTTTCATTAGATCGACCTGAGTAGGGCAGCGACAGATGTGTGCGGTCCAGAAGTAGAAGAAGAAGAAAGAGGAGAGCAGAAATGATGACATTCTAGGCTCGCTTTTCACCTTTGATGTACTCTTAGCAGGAAGACTTTGGTTTGGTGATGTGTTAGAGATAATTTAGTGGTTGAAGCTACTGTGGACTGACCAGATCTGCCATCAGCTCAGAGTGCTGGATATCACCGCAAACCTGAGACAAAGTCATACAGAACAGGTGTGTAAAACTGTGATGGTGTCAGTGAAATAACACTGACTCATGCAGGACTCTGATAAAAACTCAGCTTGTGGGCTAACAGACTAAAATCAAAGAATGCTTCTCTTTTTCTCTTTTGTTAAAAACTTTGAACATCCAGTGAGACACAGAGTAAAGTGACTTTCCGAGATTGTTTCTTCTTCTACAGATTCAGATAAATGATGTCATTTTGAGCCAGAAAGAACATTTCCATCATAAAGTAGAAGACTTTTATATTCTTTATTTATTTATCTGGTAAAAAGTCTCATTGACTTTAAAATGTCTTTTTCAAAAGAGATCTGGCCAAGACCAGAAGCTCCAGTTTTCTCTGCTTCTGTTTGCAGCAGAGCAAAAAGGACAGAGAGCAAGGGACGAGAGAAGACACGAGACAAAGACATGAACGGGACCAAATACTAACCAAGACAACCTAAACAACAAATACTGAATAAATTCAAGAGCATAAGCCCTTGAATTCTGATTTAATAAAGTAAATCAGAATACTTTATTAATCCTGAAGGATTAATAAAGTATTCTGATTCTGATAACTAGGAAACATAAGATACACAGAGAACAGAATAATGATTAAACAAGACTCAAAAAAACCATAAACACAAAACACTGGGTCAACGGCCCAGGTACCCTAACAGCCGAGGGAAAAGATGACCTCCTATTCACATCAGTATGGTATATTTTACTCCCATATCACTACTCAAAGATCATATTTTATTGTTGTAGGTTGTGGAGGTGACACACACACAAGCTGTAGTTCAACAATGACTTCATTCCTCTATTGACCTATAAAGAGGTCTTGTTACATAAGATTAAAGCTGGAAACTGACACACATAAGCCCAAACACATTGTGTTATTGTGGACGTTGAAGTCACTGCATGTGTTTTTCATGAAGATTAAACTTTCCTGTGCTGTTGGTTCTTTGTTTAATTCTGTTGATTCTTACTTTTTTGTTCCTAAAGTTTAGTTTAAACTAAACCTAGTGTTCACATTTCCCCTGTCTCGTGTAGTCAATTAGGATCAGCTGTGTCTTTGCCATTCCATGTCTCCCCCTGTGTGTATTTATACTATGTGTCCTTGTGTGCTCCTCGCCGGTTCATCTGTGTTTTTTCCTGCATCATTCTGTGTCGTCTCCCTGCATCTCCATTTTAGGTTTCAGTTCTGTGTTGTGTTAGTTTTTTCCAGTTTAGGTTTCACCTCCTGCTGGCCTCCTTCGCCCGTTCCTAGATGCCCCTGGTCTCATATCGCACTGGACTTCATCACTGGTCTCCCACCATCCTCAGGTAACAGTTATTCTGACCATCATCGATCGGTTCTCCAAAGCTGTGCATTTCATTGCTCTGCCTAAGGGGATTAGGTGCAAGAGTTGTTAAAATGTATAATTAAATAATAGATGAATTCAATAGCAAACTGTGCCTCGTTCTCAGATGGACAGCAAGTGGAATGTGATAGATGAGATGAGGAGATGGAAGGAAGAAGAGAGGCAAAGAGTGATTCACAGGCAGAGCTTAGTTTATTTCCCAGTTTTGTTGCCTTATGGTTCCAAGCGCCGTGACCAATCTTTGCGTTTTATTATTATCTCATAACACTTGTTTAATCAGCTACCCTCTCTCCTGTGGACTGTTTAATCTCTACAGTCTCAGATCAACACAGCCCTGCCCTCCAGCACTATCAGCAGCAAGAGCAGAAGCAACCCCCCAAACAGCAACATTGTACCCCATCAGGTAAAAAATGGGCTACATTTGCTTTGCATTGTGCCCACCTGATGACAGTGATGTAGTGTGATGTGATTCCATATTAGATTCTTGATGAATGTGGGTTGTTGTTCATCAGCCTGCTTCTATGTGCCCTTTTTAACTGTGAGCACCCGCCCCTTTAAACATCTCTGCACTGCCCTGACTAAATGTATATATAAACTGTCTCTATGGTTTACAGTCTGAGTCTGACAAGCTGTCAGCTGTTCATTTCTGCTATTTGAATTGTTAAAAGAAACAAACTATTCATTTAGCAGATTAACAAAAAGAATAGAGAGGCATCCAGTTATTGACATTTATATTATTTAGTTAAAGGTTTGAACAGAAAAACAATTAAACACAGAGCCTCTTCCTGCTTTCTGGAATGAATCGCAGCATGAAAACCCTTCCTCTTCTTCCTGCTCTCTAGCTAAGCACCTCCTGTCTGTCCATATCGTTCTGTGTTCCCTCCCCTTTAGATCTACATTATGAAGATGGGTGTAACCAACATGTGTTAGAGCTGGCAGGCCCCATTCACAGCAGCAACACATGTTGTTCAGATCAGAGGTCAGACCAGTTTCTATAATAAGGAAGTGAAACTTACACAGTCACTGACACTGAGAAGAGAAATGGCGCAGAAAGGAGTTCAGCTGGATCGAGAAACCTTCTCTTGTTCGATCTGTTTGGATCTACTGAAGAATCCGGTGACTATTCCCTGTGGACACAGCTACTGCATGAAGTGTATTGAAAGCTTCTGGGATGAAGAGGAAAAGAAGAAAATCTACAGCTGCCCTCAGTGCAGACAGACTTTCACAGCGAGGCCTGTCCTGGAGAAAAACACCATGTTAGCAGTTTTAGTGGAGCAGCTGAAGAAGACTGGACTCCAAGCTGCTCCTGCTGATCACTGCTATGCTGGACCTGAAGATGTGGCCTGTGATGTCTGCACTGGAAGAAAAATGAAAGCCTTCAAGTCCTGTTTATTCTGTCTGGCATCTTACTGTGAGAAACACCTTCAGCCTCATTATGATTCACCTACATTCAAGAAACACAAGCTGGTGGAGCCCTCCAAGAAGCTCCAGGAGAAGATCTGCTCTCGTCATGATGAGGTGATGAAGATGTTCTGCCGTACTGATCAGCAGAGTATCTGTTATCTCTGCTCTGTGGATGAACATAAAGGCCACGACACAGTCTCAGCTGCAGCAGAAAGGACTGAGAGGCAGAGAGAGCTGGAGGTGAGTCGACAAAACATCCAGCAGAGAATCCAGGACAGAGAGAAAGATGTGAAGCTGCTTCAACAGGAGGTGGAGGCCATCAATCAGTCTGCTGATCAAACAGTGGAGCACAGTGAGAAGATCTTCACTGAGCTGATCCATCTCATCCAGAAAAGAAGCTCTGATGTGAAGCAGCAGATCAGATCCCAGCAGGAAACTGAAGTGAGTCGAGTCAAAGAGCTTCAGGAGAAGCTGGAGCAGGAGATCACTGAGCTGAAGAGGAAAGATGCTGAGCTGAAGCAGCTCTCACACACAGAGGATCACATCCAGTTTCTACACAACTACCCCTCACTGTCAGCACTCAGTGAGTCTACAGACTCATCCAGCATCAATATCCGTCCTCTGAGCTACTTTGAGGATGTGACAGCAGCTGTGTCAGAGGTCAGAGATAAACTACAGGACATTCTGAGAGAGGAACGGACAAACATCTCACTGACAGTCACTGAAGTGGATGCTTTATTGCCTATTCGGGACAGACTCCGTGTGCGTGCATTTCCCCCCCCTCGCGTAGTGTCTCCCCACACCCCATCATTCGTTCCCCGTGTATCGTTTTCCCGTGAAGAGCGTCAACCAGCTAGAAGGGCACGCCAGAACCGACTGACAATGTTCAAAACAATAGAAAAAAATTCTAATAACAATGGATATTCTACTTACACCATCAGAGCTAAAGAGGCAGGAGAGACGCCTCCTGTGTGGAGCCCTCCCCATTGAGTGTTGTTAGTGTTGCTTCTAGTACACTTCTAGATTTGTCTGTTCATGGGTTGGTATTATTTTTGTTGTAGGTATTTTATATTTCCTTGATTATTTTATTAGTTAATTTTGCTAGTTTTTCGAAGGGAAACTTCCCGTGTCTCTTTAGTCGTGGAGGCTATCACTGCTCATAATAATTTTATGATTTTCATTTTAAACATATATATTTTTCCAAATGTAAATCTTAAATCTAAATGTAAATCAAAAATTTTATTTAACATGTATATTAATGCTTTTATATGTTATTGTTTCTCCTTCACTTCATGGGCTTTCCATTATCACAGTTTTTATTTTCTAAATCAAAAAGCAAATGGGGTGTTATCAGAACAAGGTTTCTGTGATCACACTTGACGAGGAGATTAGTCATTATGTTCATTGTTTAATGTGGGAACCAGCTGAAGGGTTTTCAAATAAATAAATTTTTGAACAAAGTCTTTTCCTCAGTCTTCATTCCAGGATCTTGACATCAGACTGGTGTTAGTTTGGATGTATTTTCCTTTGGAATTTGGGGTTTATTCTTTGGCTTTTACATTATAAAGAAATTTAACTCTGTTATTGGGTCCATACCCAGTGTTATATTGAAATCAATGAAAGTCTTCAAAAAGCCGCAGGAGGTCCTCAAACCTGAACACATCATCGTATAAATGAAATGAGAAATTAATGCGCACACAGACATGTAAGAAAAGGCTTCGGATTCCAGGAATTCGTTTCAAATACTGCATCACAAAGTAAAACGGATTCTGTAAATATTACATAATAACTCATAAACATATGAAGCTTTCTAAATGTTCGCGACAGTTACACCTTTTACAAGGCTGAGCAGTAAAAGTAAATTTCTGTTTGCACATAATGTTGACATAATGATTACAGTATGCACTGTGTTTTCTGAAATCAGCTTTGAATTTAATGTTAATGTATGCAGTGCAAAACAAAACCTTTTATTTTCACATTCTTGCAGAGGTCCGCCTGTGGTCGTAACTAATGATGGAGAGTCAGAGATTTTTGGTGGCTCGTGATTTTTTTTTTTTTTTTTTCTTTTGGATTTAAGAGTTCTCTTAAGTCCTTTGAGTATTATAGTGAGTTTTCTTTTCTATGATAATCAGATGATCTTAGTTTCCTTTCATGTCCTGTCTTATCCCGTCTCTGTGTTTGAAGTCTCCTGTATGAAGTAAGTCCTGTCTCTGTTTGGTTTTCTTTCTGTCCTTGTGGCAGGTCAAGTGCCTGATTGTAGGTAGCTAAAAGCATCTTCAGGTCTGATAGCATAGGGATGTTCAGCTGCTACAGTTTTTGCCTTGCAGTTAGAGGTTTCTTATTCTGAAGGTGGCTCCTTTAACATACTTTAGGGCCCTTTCATAGACGAGTAAAAGTTTATTATAGTAAGATTTAACTATTGAAAGCAAGTGGAATAACTACCAGCATCCAGTGTGCCCAAGTGAAGAAAAATAAGTTATGCAGGTCAGTTTGTGTTGCTCAGAAGCAGTTTGCAAAAAGTTGCTTATGTTATTTTTCCCAACTTCCCCCCCATGTTCTTTTATGTGACGTTTCAGTGTGTCAGGGTCAGAGATGGGCAGTAACGCGTTACTTGTAACGCGTTACTGTAATCTGATTACTTTTTCAAGTAACGAGTAAAGTAAGGGATTACTATTGCAAAATCGGTAATTAGATTACCGTTACTTTCCCGTAGGAACGCTGCGTTACTGCGTTACTAAAACCGTGATTTTTTTTGCGAGAATGTCTCATGACAGTGACGTAAGCAAGTGCGACGTTGGTGACAGCAGCTGTGTGCAGATCAACAATGGATAATATATCGAGTGCGGGAGAGAGTATGAGCGTGCAGCGTTTAAAGTGTGGAAGTACTGACCTTACTTTGAGTTTGATTCCATAAAAAGTGACAAAAACATTAGCGTCCATCGGGCGTGGGAAGAAAACTTCTTTTACAGCGAAAAAAACCCCTAAACTTCCGAGCAAGCACCGAGTAGCTACGACGTGATGGGAAACTCACAGAGACACTCGCGCAGATTCTTCAACTGACCGCAGCACACCTACACCAGGGTAACCCTCCGCCTACCCTGCTCCTGCTTTACAGGTGAAAATAGAGCAAAAGGACCGCTGAGTCTTTGACTTTATTTATTTTCTGCTGTGTTTTACTTGCATCTGTTTGAAAGAGTGAGTGAAAACACAAAAAATATTTTATTTTATGTGCTGGAATGTGTAGAAAATAGGCTTAAATGTTAAACTAATTTATTCAAGTCAGAGAATGTTGCATATAATTAAATGTTTTGCTTGATGCATAAAGTTAAAAGATTAAAACTGATAAAACAAGTTAAAAAAAGAGACTTTTCCATTTGATTACATTTTGTATGATGGATTATGTAGAAAAAGTAGAATTGGGCTGAAAGATCTATCACTTTATCACCTCTTCAGGTTGTAAATCGTGTTTTTAAAAAGTAACTAAGTAACTAAGTAACTAAGTAATTAATTACTTTTGAAAATAAGTAATCAGTAAAGTAACGGGATTACTTTTTGGGGGGAGTAATCAGTAATTAATTACTGATTACTTTTTTCAAGTAACTTGACCAACACTGGTCAGGGTCTTGTCTAAGTGTTAGTCATTGACTTCCCCTTTTATTTGATGGTCATTTGTCTCTTATGCTTTGTATTTAGTTTTACTTCCTGCGTCATTAATTCTGATGAGTCTCACCTGTGTGTTCAGTCGTTCCCTATTCCCCTGATTAGCTCTGTGTATAAATTAGTATGAAAAGCACAACATGTATTAGTATACATAATTTCAGTTATCCTTTGTTCTTTGTGACCTTGTCTGTTTTTCAGTCGGGATTTTGTTTGTTGCTTTTCTTCTGAGTTTTTGTGGTGTTCTTGCTGGACTGTCACGGGTTGCTCTGAGGATCCACACGCAGGACTCCGGGGTTGTGATTTAACAGAGAAAGTTTTATTTACAATTTCTTCACCAAGTGTATTTACAGGCAGTGTGGAAATTGTGCTATTTACAAGACGTGAGGGGCGGGGTTCCAGGGAAAAAGGGAAATCACACACACGTCCACGCCGACCTCTCTCCACACGGGGAAACACGGGGACGGGTCTGGGGAATCTAGAGACACAGAAACACACTTTAACGTCTGATATGTCGGCACGGGACACTTAAGCTAGACTTGTACTAATGAGAGTCTTCACAACAATCCAGCGTCAAACAGCAGACCTTCTCCCTCTTAAATACCCGCTGGTCTAATGAGGCCCAGGTGTTCCCAATCGGCGTGGGCTGAGGGCGTGAACCCACCATGAGTTCCATGAGAGAGAGATACCCATTTGTGTGAATGGTTATTTTGGAATCACCAATTAACCTAACCCCACTAATTGTATGTTTTGACTGTGGGAGGAATGCCGGAGTACCCAGAGAGGTTGAACTTCCACCTATAAAATTAAAAGTATTTTCTTTTGACTCACTTTGTCTGAGAATCTGCATTTGGCTCCTGCACACACATAACAGTCAGAGCTTCTGGACAAAAATAATTTCACCCAAATCTGTTAAAAATAAAATTAACCTGAGCAGGTTTAAAATAAAGCAAAGAAAGGAGAATCCCTTTATTAACTAAATAAAGTTAGATTTAAATGACTCTGCTTTTATCTACATACCTAACTGTTGTTTCCTAGTGTTAAAATTACTGCACCTGGGTGTGGTCCTCTCTCAATGTAAGGCACGTCACATCTCCTGTAAAAATTAAATAAATGAGATACAATTGACATTTGCACATCCGTCAAGCAATGCTGTAAAAAAAGGCTCTCAGCTGCTACTGTCAGGGTTGCTAAGCAACAGGAGCAGCGCGTCGTAGGCTAGACGATCTCAATTAAAGCAGCCTCGGAGAAGGATGCAGCCCCTGAATTGGGACACAGCTTTAGTACTCAAGGGCTCTGATGGATGTTATCTTCAGGTGTGATACATATATGTCTGCAGTTAGCTGGAAGATTTTGGTTTGACAAATATTTCAGTTACTGAAGCAACAATGTCTTCAGTTCAGCATTTGAGAGACTTTATCAGGGAGAGACTAACTGCTACAGCTGAAGACATCTCCTCTGAGGCTGAAAAAACGATGGTCCAGTATGAGGAGGAGATCAGCCGTCAGCGCAGACTGCTGGATATCAGCCGGAAACCCGAGACAAAGTTACACATGACAGGTATGTATAACTGCGATGATCATGTAGGACCCTGATCAGAGCTCAGTTTTAGGCTAATGGAGTTATATACACACACACACACACACGTAAACTTTTAGCATTAAACACTGAGTAAGGCGCAGAGAAAGTCACTTTTGAGGTTAAAATGTGAGACAAAACTTGTGCCACAGCTGGCTGACAGCTTGATCTCTCTGTCCCTTACCCTGTGTGCCCTGAAGCAGGAGTCATCTGCTCCTCACCACCCATCTTCATCCTTTGAGATGTGTTTAGTGATCAAAATCACCACCTAATCAGGGCCAAACTCCCTGCAAGACGACCCTGTGTCTCCCATCACTCTCGTCTCTTTTAAACAAACAAATCGATTCGACTTAAATGTAAGTTTTATTTTCAAAATTTACCCTGTTAAATAAGTGAAACTGCAATAGGTTTATGTGACCAAAAATAATCATGATTATGAATTTTGCTGTAAGCTTTTGCAGCAGCTTTAGCTCAGACTAAAATGATTCAGCTGTGTGGAGGAAATCTGGGGAAAAAAGCCCACTT